ATGACCATTGCATGTTATTTCCTATGTTTGTGGAGTTGGCGATGTTACTGTGAATCATTGCTTGTTTGCTTTTGATTTTTGTTGGAAATTATCTTTAACCTATGTTTTCTTGGGTGTATTTGTTTTCATTGGATTGGAATTTTCCTTCTAGTATCTTCTGTAGGGCTGGGTTGCTGTTCAGATATTGCTTAAATTTAGTTCTGTCGTGGAATATTTTATTTTCTCCATCTATGTTGATTGAAAGCTTTGCTGGTAAAGTAGTTTAGGTTGGCATCTGTTGTCCCTTAGGGCCTGCATGATATCTCCCCAGGCCCTTCTGGCTTTCATAGTTTCTGATGAGAAGTCCGGTGTGATTCTGATAGGTTTGCCTTTATATGTTACTTGGCCTTTTTCCCTTGCTGCTTTTAGTATCTTTTCTTTGTTCTGTAGATTAAGTGTTTTGACTATGATGTGGCGTGAGGAGTTTCTTCTCTGGTCTATTTGGTGTTCTGTAGGCCTCTTGTATGTTTGTGGACATCTCTTTCTTTAGGTTGGGAAAATTTTCTTCTATGATTTTCTTGAAAATATTTTCTGGACCTTGTAGCCTGGACTCCTCTTCTTCTTCAATTCCTATTATTCTTAGATTTTGCCTTTTCATGGTGTCCTTGATTTCTTGGATGGTTTGTGTTTGGGATTTTTCTGATTTTATTTTTGCTTTGAGAGAAGTATCAATTTCTGTGAGTGTATCTTCCGTACCCGAGATTCTCTCTTCCATCTCTTGTATTCTATTAGTGATGCTTACCTTTGTGATTCCTTCTCTTTTCTCTAAGTTCTTCAGCTCCAGGGTTTTCTCAGTTTGTGTTTTCTTTATTGATTCTAATTCTGTTTTCATGTCTTGCATCATTTCCTTTATCTGTTTGAGTGTGGATTCCTGTGTCTCCAAGATGGTCTCTATTTTTTTGTTTGTTTCCTCTCTTAGTGCCTCTGCTTCTGCCTCCAATTGTTTGGCTATATATGCATGTGTTTCTTTAAGAGCTTCTTCGTTCACTTCGTTTTTCTTTGTTTCTATTTGGGAGGTCAAATCTTTAAGGGGTTTTTTTGTATCCTCTTTAACTGTTTGAATCTCTATGACTATTTCTCTGAGAGATTTGTTGGTTTCCTCTTTATGTGCCTCAATTAACTTGATAATCATAGCTTTAAAATCATTTTCTTGTGTTTCTGCTGAGTTGGAGTGTCCAATAGTTTTGGAGGTTGCCGGTGAAGCCATGATATCCTGATTTGCATTGGTTGTGTTCTTTTGCCGACCTCTGGCCATTTGATTATCCGTAGTGTTCACTGTCTGTTCCTGGATTCTGCAGGTCAGACTGGTTTTTCTCTGGTATCTGGAGAATTCTCCAGGAAAATGGGTGAGGTCTAGTGGTTTCAGTGTGTCCGTTGGTTATTCAGTTATATCTGTAGAATTAAAGTTCGCAGGCGCAGAAGGACAAATGCGGGGTAGTGTGTGTTTGAGCGTGTGCTTTTGGGTGTGTCCTAAGGGACAGGGTGTTGGTGAATGAAGAGGCCTTCAGTGTGTGAGAGGGGTGCCCTGCAGGCACTGAAGTTGTTGGATCTCAGGCGCTAAGGGATCACAAGCGCTGTTGAAGAATGCGCGCGTGTATTGATTTTACAAGTCCGCTGGTGTTTGGTGTCTATTCAGCTGGTTTTCTGCCACTGAGGGGTTGGATGGCCCATACAATCATTGGCTGGGCAGCCCTGTGTATTCTGTGCTGCCACTTGCAGATTTGGGGCCTGGGAAGGGTTGTACTGTGGATCTGAGTCTCTGTGGCTAGCACTGTATTGGGCCTACGCTCTGGCTCTGGCAGGGTGGAGTACGGCGGTGCGTGCACTCCTGCAGAGCCGGGTGGTGGTGGTAGTGGGAGGGGGTGTTCCGCGGGTCAAGAGCTCGGCGAGAGGGCCCTATGTGGCGTGTGTTCTCCTCTGAGTGGTGGCGTTCAGCAGGTCGTTACTACTCTCTGCTGCGGTTGCGGGGTCTGGAGTCCTGCCTCCCTGCCTCCAACCATCTTGGGTCCCAAACACTGAGCTTTGCGGCTTTGGTATCCGGGAAGAATTGTATTGTGGATCTGAGCCTCTGTGGTAGCGCTCAGTGGTTGGAGCTCTGTGATTGGGCCTGAGCTCCTCCTGTGAGGGTGTTTCGGGGGTTATTGGGCTCTGGCTGCTTGGGACATGAGCTCCACTGTGCTTCCTGCTGCGGTCTAGTTTGGGATTGCATCACCCGGATGGGGGAGGGGACGCTTCGCCGGTCCAGAGGGCCCTGTGTGGGACGTGTGTCCAAGAACAGGATGGGTGTTTAACGGGTGGTTACAGCAGCCCGCAGCTGTAAGGGGCCCGGAGCACTGTCTCTGCTGCCTTGATCTCCCGGATGTGAGCTTTGCGCTCAGCTGCCTGGTGCTGTGTGCGGGTTTCCCGCGGGAGGCCCAGACAAGGGAAGCGCCCTATTTCCTTCCCGGAGAAGTCAGCGCCTGATCTAAATCTACTAGCACTCCACACTTCTGTGGTGGCCCCTCTCCTTTAGAAAGCCCAAAAGTCCAAATTCTAGCTTCGATTGACTCTCCACTCACCAATTCCGGAGATTCATGTCTTCTGCCTCTCCAAAACAGTGCGCTCTGCTCGCCGCCATCTTGGAGTCCTCCTATCTCTACTTCTAACCCTCTCCAATGTTAATACTCAGTTGCAGCTGTCCCACCTAACCAAGCAGGCTGCCCATCCCCCCCCCCGTGTTCTTGCCTCTGCTTTCTCCCTTACAATGTGAGACGATGATTTCGTTCACCTAAAAATCTTCCAATTGCTTCCTTTTCCATAGAAAATAAAATTTAAGTTCATTGCCATATCCTACAAAGTCCTACATGATTTAGCTCCCCAGACGACCTCTTACATAAAACAACTTTAAGGTTTATGTATCAAACGGTAGCTGTCCATTAACCTTTTCTACCCTAACACATTAGCATCATAGCTGGTCTTCATTCCCGATACACTTTAAAGCAGGTTCATTAGGGATGGTATAGTAACAACAGTAAGAAAAATCAGTCGTTCATGCTGATCCGTGGGGTGAGGGGATCTGTAAAAACAACAATTGGGTATAGGGGCTCTAAAAATATTAACAATACTTTATTTTATTCTCAAACCCTGACTGTTCAAACTCTTGTTGGTTCACATATTTTTGCCTTTGAATTTGCTTATCAAATTATGATACTACGCCCATTAAGGATTTTTAAATTTTTTATAGGTTGTCTTAGAGTACTGAGTACTAAGAACAGCAGAGCATTATTCTAACATTGAATTTACCTTTCTAATTTGTATTAACTATTACTGTGTGCAGTTCATAGGTTTCAAACACGTAGTTGTGAATAATTTGAATTAAAGACAGTAACCTTTGTCAAGCTCTTGATTCCATGTTTTAGTTTTTTTGTCCTTTAGAACATTATTTTAGTTGGTGGAAATTACATATATTTGTGTATATAGGCAAACATATACATAAGTATGTTATATATAATTTTAAAAATAATGAATTAATTTTCTCATATCATACTGAGGTTGATCATGGTACATATATATGTATATAAACATATGTAACATATATTGAAAAATGAAAACATTATAGAATAAAGAATCAAAATCATGAGCACATTTTTACCTTATATACTTACTATTTTATGGTGAGAACAAATAAATATACTTTTTTTTTATTCTCAAGAACGCTATCTAGCTGAGCAAGGTAGTACATGCCTGCAATCCCACCACTCAGGTAGGCAGAGGCACATGGATCTCTGTGAGTTCAAGGCCAGCCTGGTCTACAAAGCAAGTTGAGGATAGCCAAGGCTACACAGAGAAACCCTGTGTTAAAAAACCAAAAGAAAAAAAAATGCAAGACTGGGATATGCCATAGACACTGTGAGTTTTTTTTTCCTACCCTAAGATCTGAGATTTTCTGTGCCTTCCTTTTGATATTCAGATTCCTAGACTTGAGGTAATGTTGTAATTACTGGCAAACAGAAGATTTGGGAACAGTTATTACCTACGGAGTACTTAATTTTCTGAACTCATGCTACAACAAGGAAACAGGCCTTCAGAAAACTGAGATCTATGATGACCTAAGAGGCAGAGATAATAAAAACCAATTGCCAGAAAAGGGAAAAAAATCTTATTACTCACTAAGAACACTACATTAAAATTAAGTAAAATGAACTTATCAGTGGCTCAACAACTTGGTAAATTATGGTGGGATGATGACATTTTCCCCATAAGAAATGGTAATTATATGGATGTCCATAAATTTGAATTGTATACAAGACTCTATAAATAATGACTTAATTAGGTTAGCCATATACATACAATAAAGTCTTTAGCTGTTCAATGACACATAGTTATGCACAGAATATGTCTGTTTATATAACAAGGTTTAGAAAACACACAGCAGATTGTATTTTAATCCATTGTGGGGATATAATGAAGCATGAATAAAAGTTTTAGATCTTGATACCGATCTTGGCTGAATGTTGCAATGGTACTTTAATTTATAGGTCCATCTATTGTAGACACCCTCTTGTGTCTAATTTCAAGTGTTCTCATTGGGGTTTTAGTGATTAAGTTTCATTCTCTTGTCAATTGCCTTTTAAATTTAATTAAGATGTTTTTATGTGTATGTATTATGTTTTATTCCTCACTAGATTATAAACTACTTGAATAACCCATTCGTTATATCTATCTTCCCCTCTGTGCCTTACACAGCACTCTGAACAAATTAAGCCCTAATTAAGTGTCTTAAAGCATAGTGATTTAATTTTCTCACGTCATATTGAAGTTAATTATTGCATTTGCAATTATTTGATTCAGCCTTGAAATGAAATAAAAGGAGTCTACCCTAACTTCTACCCAACCAAACACTGATAAATGACAAGAACAAAGGAAAGAAGAAAGACAAATTAAGAAGAAAAAGAAGAACAAGAAGGCATTCAAGGACTTACTCTGTAGTCACTCGATGTCACATAAAATATCGGGAGGAATGCCAGCCAGATGATGCAGGTGGTGTACATGGTGAAACCGATGAACTTGGCTTCATTGAAGTTCTCCGGACACTTCCTTGTTTTGAATGCGTACACAGTGCATAGGATCACGAGGACCACATCATAGGTCAGAGAGATCAACATGCTGGAATCTTTGACATTGCATTTTAGGATGACTGTTTCTCGCTTCTCTGGAAGGGTATATCTTCTGGTGCCTGGAGCCTCCAGGATAAGCCACACAGACACCATCACAATTTGGACCAGTATCAAACCCAGGCAGATAAAAACCTGAGAACTGGGACTGATGAATTTTGGCCTCTGAGCTCCATTCTTGACCCCATCAAAGATGCGAGCGATGCAGTTTGTCTTGGTCAGCAGAGCTGAATAACAGATGGCAAAGGAGGTTCCAAGCCCAAGCCGGCGCAACGCACAAATGACAGGTGATGGTTTAGCAATGAAGAAGAATGTCATGCAATAGGACAGGCTAACTCCAAACAACAAGATGTAGCAGAGTTCTCGGCCTGATGCTTTGACCAAGGGTGTGTTGTTGTGCTTGATAAAAACAGTTATAACTATGCATGTACACATAAAACCCAGGCAGGCAATGGTGACTGGGCCTATCGCCCAGGCATCTTCCCACCTGATGTAATCCTCTGGGAGGTTGAAGCATCCAGATAGGTCTGCAGTGGGCCACTGGCCGGGACCACAATCCATGCAGGTGAACTCATCAGCCAGGTACTCGTAGGGCTCACAGGGGATGCAGATCCAGCAGCAAACATCTCCTGGCTGCATGTTTTTCATCTCATTAGGGGCACAGGGATCACTGCATTGGGAAGTAGGGACTGAGTTCCGGGACCAGTGGATGGAGTCCACATCTAGAGATAAGGTTTCTGCCCAGTGGCCGACCTTCAAGTAGGAATACTTTCCACCTATATGCTGGAAGTTGAACACGTTGTATCTTCCCATCCCATCTCCAAAAGTGTCAAACTTCACAATGCTGTCTGCTCCTTTATTTGGGATGAACGGAGCTTTGATACATGGAATGGAAAAAAAGAAAAGAACACTTGTTTAGGTGTCTCGTATGTCATCAGTCAATTTTGGTGTACACTCAGCAGAACTGAAGTAACAGGGAGCAGAGATAGCAAGAGTGGCATAATTTATCACTCACCATCGAAAGCCACAGATCAAAAGCTTCCAGAGTGTTTATGCATTCATAAATTTAGTTGCTTAACATTGCTGAGTGTCTAATGGGTGCCAAGTGCTAGTGATAATATTGAGCACAATGGAGTGCTGCCTTCAAAGGAAATGTATTACATAATAGAAGAGCACTGGCAAACGAGTAGATGTACTCTGTGAGGTGTGAAATGTTGTTTTCTTGAAAGCTTTATAACAGAAATTGGGCAAGGCTTCATGTCTTACTTCATACTTATTTATATACAACCACTAAAATTTTTGCCATCTGAAGTATTTTCATGACAATATAAAATTAATAGGAAGAATTTTCTCCTTAAATTGAGATTCAATGTAAATGTATAAAATATGCACTTAAGCATTTCTGATGCTTAACATAGGAAAAAAAATGAAATTATTTATAGTCATTCTGTAGCTTTTGGCATACAGTCTTTCCAGGTAGCCCAGACTAGCTTCAAACTCATAGCAGTTTTTGTTTTTTTTTAACCTCAGAATCTTGAATGTGCTGCCATGCTTGGTTAGATATCTTATATGCATAATAGTGGGAAGAATATTTGCAAGTGGGTGTGACTTCAAGAGTAGAGGGTTGGACATGCTCAGACAACGGTATATTCTAGACCCTGTGCCTTTTCTAGGTCTTCAGAAAATACCTGGTCTGAACATCTGAATGTCTTCCTCTTTTCCAACTGTAGTCCATCTTATTTCTACAGTTTCTGTGAACAACTTCTAAAATGAGCTTCCATATAATTTATTCTTCTTACGTCTCGGTTTGCATTTATTAATCGTCTCAGAAATATTACACTCCGGTAATAACAGAGCTCCATGAAGGCCATGAACTAAGAGGGGAAGCTTGTTCTCCGTAATAGTTTTAAGTGAAATATAGTTACATTATTTCCTCTTTCACTTTTCTCCCTCCAATTCCTCCCATGTCTTCTCCCTCCATCTTTTCTCATGCTCCTCCTCTACTTGCTCTTAAATCATTGTTCTCTTTACTGTTATATGCTCTCTCTTTCTCTCTCACACACACACAATCACAACACACACACTCTCTCTGTCTCTCTCATAAATATATAAATACAACCTGCTGAGTCCGCTTAGTATTGCTTGTATGTGTATGATTTCAGAGCCAACCACTTGGAATCGAATACCCAATTAGGAGGCTTATCCCTAAAAAGACTATTCTAGCTCTCTCAGAAGTCATTAATTGCTTGTAGTTCTTTTTATCAATGAGCGAGGCCCACAAAGATTTCCTTCTTTTATGTCAGCCTGTCTAATTGGTATTGTTATTGTTTAGGTAGTCATGCTGTTGTGGTATCATGACCCTTGTTTCCCTGTCATATGTAGGAGACACAATCTCATATGGCAGACTCCCCGGTCTTCTGGCTCTTTCAGCCTTCCTGCCCTCTCTTCTATAATATTACCTGAGCCTTAAGTGTTCAAGAGTTGGTTGTGTTGAAGAAGGAAATTTTACTCAGTTTACAGCTTCTTATCTGGCTTGCTTACCTCTCCATTCCATATGCTATTCTCTTATAATAATTACCAGGTAATTCTCTTCAAGATGCAGCTGAAGACTGAATTTTCATTTGCCACGAGGCTCTGTCATGACTGTGATCTTTGTTTTTTACTCCACTTTTGCTAGTCTGCTGTGTACTTTCCATTTCATACTGTTAGTCCCTATTTTTTCCTTAGGAGGAGATTGTCACTTTTTGTGTGATTCATAGACATACATATTTGATTTCCTAATTGCATGATACTTAGGGGTGTGTGGAGAAACCAAGGGAGTAGAATAAGATATCCATAAATAAACCTACTACATCCTAGTAAATGCTAACGGGGGCATCTCAAACAAGGGAAGCTATTTTGTACACATTGTTAAATAACTGTTTAACCAACTGAAAAAAATGAATTTAAGTCGGTATCTCATTACTTATGCCCAGATTGATTCTGAAAGGATCAGAGTTTTGCATGTAAAAAAAAAAAAAAAAAAAAAAAAAAAAAAAAAAAAAAAAAAAAAAAACAAAGGCAAAGAAGTTCTAGAAATAAAAAAAGTACTTTAAGATCAGAGTGGGAAAAGTCCTTTTTGAAGGCTACTGAAAATGAAAAAAGAACAAAAAAACAAAAACCAAGAAAACATATACCAAAGTATAACAAGATTTTGAAGTTCCAAATAATGGGCTGGGATACAGCTGAGTTGGTAAAGACCTTGGTAAGTTTTAGGACCCAGGTTCAGTCATCAGCATTCGATGCGAAAGGCCTGGGTAATCCGGAGGAACTTGATCTCAGTTCTGGGGTGGTGGAGACCGGAGGATCCCTGGGGCTCCCTGGCCAGCATAGCTTAATGAGTGAACCCTAGGTCCCACTGAGAATAGCTGTCTTAAATAACAAGGTGGATGGTTCTTGATGAACCCTGGTTGATCTTTGACTTCCGCACACGTGTACACACCGAAACACACACACACACACAGACATGTGTACGTGTGTGTGCTGGTGTGTGTGTACTGTCATATACACATGAATCCCACAAATACACAAAGTTCCAAAACGAACACACATGGATAATAACATCAGAGCAAATGTGGGAAATGATACTGCAGACTTCCAATGGTATTTAAGATAATGTACACATATCCAATATAAAATGGATCTTAGTAACTCATAGAAAATGTCCAAAGGATATGAATAGTTATTTTACCATAAGGAAAATCTATTTTTTTAAACATGCAAACACATGTTTAACATTGGTCAAATTAACAGAAAAATGCAAACTTCCAAAGGCAGAATAATAGTCCTTGAAAGATACACACAACCTAAATGTCAGGCCCCCGATGCTATTATCCCAGGCAATAAAAGATAAATTAACGCTGGAATTACAGTTGTTTTTAGCTGACATAAGAACATCTCACATCACATGGGGGTGAGCCCAGCGTTACCGACACAGGCCAGAGATGCTGGAGAAGGATCAGAGGAGCCAGTTTCTGGGTGATAGATACAGATGATGAAGCTCACCACTGTTGGCTTTCAAAGAGCCGCCAACATGCGTGAGCAATAAAGGCTGCAAAGGAGAGAAAATGAACCCTTCTGTGGGGCTTCAAGATGTGATTCGACCCTGGCAATGCATTGCTTTTCCACTAGCACAGTCAATGCCGATGTCCAGCTCCCATAGCATTAGGGAGCCTAATGCCTAATGCCTAATGCCTCCCATAGGCATTAGGGATAAAATCAGTTTGAAGAAAGATAGTGAGGTGGATTGGCCAGCATCTGTTGTGTAGCAGTTCCCAGTCTGGCCTTGAACTTGTGGAGCCAGTCTATCAGGAGAGAGGCTGCTGGAGGGAGAGAAGTACCTAATGACCTTAGTTTATAGCTGCCAGCCTTTTGGAGCAGGTCAGAGGGGGTGAGGAGGAAGCTGACCATCTTGGAAGTTACCACATTCAACATCTAGCCACGGTCTGGTCCTTCTTCCCACATGTCTGCTTACCAGAGTCTAACTCCTAGTCTCTCCAAATTACCAATTTTGTGGGATCTTTGTCTCAGTAGTAATAGTAAACCAACACACACAATAAAACCGTTTCTCACTTGTAACATGCTCTACTGATAAGACTGTAGTCAGGCAAAATATCGCCTGTTATGCTTTTGTGTGTGTGAATTAGCATACCTCTAAATGAGGGCAATTGGTTAAGTTGTTTGTTTGTTTGTTTTTTAAGTTACAGATGTATCCAAATTGGCTGAGGAATTTCCATAGGTAGAATGTATTCTACAGAACTGTTTGGCTATATGTTTACTGAAAGATTTATTTATAACAGGAAAACTTGGAACTGACTCAATCCATTCATCAGCTAGGTTCAGGAAAAATAAAATAATATTGCACAGAGGTCAGAAGAATGAGGACATATATGCCTCTTGCAGTATGGGCATATTAGAAAAACAACCTAATAACTGCATTGTTTTGTGTGAAAAACAAAATGTTTGATCAGCTATATTTTATGGGCATAAAAGTTCTCCTTTTTCTTTTCTGTGCATAGAGAAACTCAAAAATAACTAAGAATGGTGGCTATTTTGGCCAAGAAATGGACAATAAACCAATTTTTGGCAAAGACAGAGGTATAATATACATATATTAATTACAGTTTGGATTTTGAACTATGTGGGTGTGTTACATATTCAAATATGCTATGAGCAATCACCAGTATGTCATCTATGAGACGGATGGAAAAACCTGCAGAAGGAGTATGCAGAGAACAAGAAGCGGTGTTTGTTAGTGAGAGGCCCTGACTGAAAAACACATGGTGGACAGCTCCTGACTGACACCTGAGGTTATTCTCTAGGCTCCACACCTGTGCACCTCCCAACACACACGTGGCCGAATACATGAAACCATGCAAATACACAGAGTGCCAGCTTTGCAAAATTATATAACAAATACAGAAAATCAGAGTAAGTATTGAGAGATGAACATTCTCAAAGTTTGGACAAAATGTTAGGAGGGAAGAAGGAGATACAGTCAGAAATGGATCACTCTGTTTTCCAGAAAAAGAGGACAGACAGAGACAAGCACACCTCTGGGTGGTGGGCTGTGCTTAGGGAAAGTGAGGGAAGAGGACTTTATTCTTTTTAAGTGCACTGTAGTCATAGAAATATGTACACACCTGATTTTGCTGAGAAATTATACAATTAAATAGAATAGTCAAGGAAGAGCAGGAAAAACCTTCTTATAAGGTAAATAATTATGAAAACATTGCAAGTATTTTAACAAGTCTTTGGAAAATAGGTACTGACTAAACAAATGATACCTTTGGTGGATTTTTGTGTATATGTTTATGTCCATGTATGTGTACATATA